TTTTTTTTTCCCCTGAATTGTATTTTTTATTTTATTTGTAGGAAGCTATGTAAAGCCCTTTTTTATTTTTTTTATTTATATGTAATATTATTGTGTTTTTAATATTATTTTTTTTATAAAAATCTTGTATCTAAATATATAATCAGAGCAAACAATTATAGCCGTTATTATTATAGTTGTTGAGAATAAAACCGATGGAGAAAAAAGAAAAGAAAAAATAAAAATATTTATTTTATTTTTTAAAAAATAATAATATAATAAAACGCAGAATGAAAAAATGAGTGCACAACAAGAACTTGGAGTCTCCAAAATAAGTGTAGAACCAATTGCTGATATGACTGTACACTTTACATAAAGTGTAGAATGAAAAAGTTACCTAGCGCTGGGGTTGCTCTTAATAAAATAATAACGTGGTTGAGGCTAGATCATATAATATTCAAATAAAACTATCAATAAAGTTGAATTCGATTTAATTCGTTTCTATAGCAACTTGAAACTAAACTATCTGCATAATAGAACTCAATTAGATTGATTCAGTTTAGACTGATCTTGTTTATCTACTCTAACGAGATATATATATATATATATATATATATATATATATATATATATATATATATATATATATTTGCTATTTCAGCTATTGTAGAAAAGAATGTACGTGTAATCCTGTTGCTCATTTTAGGCGATTAATGACCTTAGTTGTTTTAGTATTGAATAATGATAGAAAACCGAAACAGTAATCCCCGAAATTTTACCGAATCTAATGTGGCCAAAGACAGGTACGATTTACTATGTCTTTTAAGACAGGTAGGATTCAACATCCTCTCTCACCCCACGCGACGTAGATGGATTTCGTCTTCAACCGCACAAACTGGATCAAACTCCGAGTTTTAATCATAGCACACAATGGCAACATTTTATAGTTTGGGAACTCATGTGAATGAAATTGATAAATGCAAACAAAAGAGAAAAAGAAAAAAAAAATATGAAAAAACCGATAAGAAAAAAGAAAGAAAAGGGGTGTGCCCAACCCAGTCCCAAAGTGTGTGTTCATCAGATGATGAGTTTCAAATTTTTTTCCTTTTTTTTTTTTTTTTTTTTTTTAAATTAAAAAAGTAGGATAATATGTGAGAGAATTTTGAAAATTGTATTGGACCAGACTCTGACTGTGCTCAGTGTGGATTGCGGCCAAATCAGAACTCATGGGAACGAAATCGATAAATTCAAACAAACAAATAAATATATGTGTAATAATGGAATGCTATTAAGAATAAACCTACACAATATGAAGCCCCCTCGGTACAATATTAAAGACTGTTACCCCGGTGGTATCCAGTTCCCAAATAAATATTGATACACTCATATCTATATCTATGTGTATATATATACATATATGCTTCTATTATATATGGACAATACTTACCTACTCATCGGTGAGTAGAAAGTTCATGTTTACCATCGATGTGACGCAACAACAAAGTGACAAGTGTTCTTACAATGTAAAATAATAATAGTAATAATAATAAAAGATTTAAAAAGTCATTTGGGTTAAATCCAGTAGAATCCAAATCAAACACATATCTAATTATCTCTTTCCCATGCTACTTAATTGTCTTAATCCCTAAGCCTCAAGGAATCACAACTATAAGTATCTTGCTCAAATCAAATCCATGAAAGGAATTGGATTAAGATTTTTGATTGTGGGTGATAAGATTTCATGTTTGAACTAATATATATATATATATATATATATATATATATATATTGATTTTGTTTTTTTCAAGCATGGCTTATGTTGTTTAGCCCTTCGTTGCCTTCTTGTTGATAAAGAAAGAAAGAAATAAATAAATAAAAATTTGTGTAAAGGTAGATGCTTGCACTTGCTAATGGTGTCTTGTCCCACATGTGAAAATAAATATGAATTTATGATTGTCTGATAATTAATCAACCAAAAAGAATTCTTAAGAAAACAAATTTTATTTTTTTATCAAATCATGACTAAATACTTTCTTTTATTTATTTGAATAATGTTAATAAGCCTATTTTAATGCAAATACTCTAGCAGGGAGTGGCTAAGTTTACAATTGAACTCTTAAGTCTCACCTTCATCAAAAAGCTTAATCCAATTCCTTCTACATTATTTTTTTTTAGGTTTGATTTGGATTTTATAAGAAATAGAAATAATCAAATTAGGATTTGATTTAGATTTTATTGGACTTAACCCAAATAACTTTTTAAATATTTTATTTTTCATTTTTTATTGGAGGGACACTTGTCACTTTATTGTCCTACCACATAGATAGTAAGTATGAAGTTCCTACTCATTGGTGAGTAGGCAAGTATTGTCTCTTTGCTAATTTTATATTTTTGTTTTCCGATGAGGGAAACAATTTTAGAAGATAATGGCACCTTCATTATATTAAGATTTTCCCCAATTTTCTTTTTATTTTATGCACTTCATTTTTTATTTTCGTTTTGAAATCATGGAAAGGAGTTTGGATTTAGATTGTAGGTAAAAAATGGTGTACTGTTTTTCTGTAAATAGAATCCATGTCCTGAGATTGAGGACAACTATGATTGGCGTAGGACCCACTCAAGACTCGTGAGGTGAGAGATGACTTTGAATTTTCACTATTTAGAAATATTTAATGAACTTGACATGGTTTAACAACGTGAGATTCAGTGATAATTTGGGGATAATCATTTGATTTCCCTATCACTACTCTTTAGTATTTTATAGCACTAAATAAGTTAAGGTATGTGAGGTACACGTTTTGTTTTTGATATTTTCATTTTTGTCGAATATTATAATAGTGAAAAAAATGTATCGGATAAAAATTATTTTATTTTGTACGATGCATAAACGTTTCGTGAATAAGGATAAAAAATGTGGACATTTAAAACAAAAATTATATGAAAATTTTAAATTAATAATTATATTTTTCGACTACCACTTTTTTATCAAAAATATTTTTATACTTTAATTTTTAAAAATATTACAACAAATTAACGTTAGTAAATATACTTTCGGTTATATTTCAACCTATGATTATCATGACTCAAAATTACTGAACATAGGATAATGAATTGACACGTGTCAATAAGCAACGACATTGTCAGTTGGCATGATGCCATCATGCTTTTCCTTCGGTTTACTTTCTGTCAGAGTCTCTCGTCAATACCACTGCGTTTTTTTTTTTTTCGTTAAAGGTCAATACCACTGCGTTGAGTACAAAAAAACACACATATCCATTCGCTAAAAATTTTACACTGGCCCCACTTTATCCTGTTTGTTGAAAGCTGTCATCATGTAGCAGCGAGTAATTTCTTACCTACGCGAGAGAGTACGCGAAGTAGGCCAAAAAGGGTCACACTAAGAAAGAGGCTGAGAAACTAAACGGCCGCGTAGTGGATAGGAGCGCCGCTTCATACGGTCCTCGTTTTATAATGGCCATGGTCACGTGAGTAGACTGGTGTGGTCAAAGAAAACAATACTACTCTCCCCATAATAGATGTCTCTTACGGAAAATAAAACTTTTTAAGTAGACATTTAATTGTTACATTATTTTTAAAAAAAATTATAAAATTATCCTTTCAAGTTTAAATATATATAATCAAATTTGAATTTTTTTTAAATTTTAAAGATATTTTATAAAAAAATGTAAAATATATTGTTTAAATTTGATAAGTAGACAAATATTTTGGGACAATTCAAAAAAGAAAAATAGGTAATTATTATACTACGGAGGTAGTAATAATTAGTTTTAGATTCAAAATTATCCAAGAAAAAAATGTTACAAGATCTGCGTTTTTTAAAAATATTTACTGAAGTATGAATTTTTGTATGCTCATTAGAATTCGTCATTTTCTAACATAAACTTTCGTTTTCATATCTATTTTATTACTTAGGTTTATGGATGGCAATTTATTACTTACGTTTTCATATTTATTATTTAGGTTTAGGGATGACAATTTATGTTCGTGAGTTGTGTTCGTGTCGTATCAATGTAAGGGTATTATATTAAATAAGTAAATTCAAACCCAACTTATTTAATAATCGTGTCAAGAATGAACCTAACCCGTTTATTAAACAGGTAAACGTGTTAACTCGTTTAATGATCAGTTTATCAAAACGAGATATTTAATTTAATCAAATACTGAATAATAATAAAAAATTTGTCATAATTTACCCAAATATTCAAAAAAAAAAATCATAAGGCGTAGACAAGGTTTATGTTGAAATGACTTAACTATTCGTGGTAATTAGATTTAAACAGTAACATATTACATATGTCATATTCACGATTATAACATGTTAAGTTAAATGGGTCATAAACGGATTACATGGGTTAAATCTTTTAACCTTAACCTGACACGGTTAAGTAAACAGGTTAATCGTATCCTTTATGACTCAAACCTTTTTAAGTTGTGTTGTGTTCGTGTCGTGTTGTCATGTCGTATAGTAATTTGTCACTCCCACTTAGATTATATATATATATATATATATATATATATATATATATATATATATATAAAATTTTATTTTGGATTATTTTATTGAAAATCATTGTTATATCTTAGCTCTTAAACAAATTTATTTTTCCTTTCTCCCATGTACATTGATATATTCTGAAATTAATAATTAGTATTAAATTGTGACAATAAGCTGATAATCACATGTACTACGGAGTAGTTATTAACATCTATTTGTAAGTTTGAACATACATGTGCATCCGAGTGAAAAAAATAAAAAATATCTTCCTTCATTCTATAGTCAAAATTACAAATTAACATGCCATTATATAGTTTCATGTAATAAGTAAATATTTTAAAGACCTTCACAAATCTGTAATTAAAATTTTGTAAGTTCATAGTTTGGTAAATTGTGCACAGATAATTACAATGTAACTGCCTTTTCAACAAACAATTACTTTCTCTGTCTTATTTATAAATAGAGAAACTCGTAACGTCGTTTTTGGCAGTACAGCTCTGCTCAAAATTCCCGCTTTGGACCCTTGAAATTCCCCCCCTTTCTCTCTCTAAAACAGTAACACACTTCTCTCACACAAAAACACACACTCTCTTTCTCTCTCTAGAAATGGCGGATTTCCCCCCTAATTTGGATGACGGAGAACTATGGCTTCCCTCTGATATTTTTCCCGACGAAATCCCCTCTAGGAAAAGTCCATTCTACCATTCTGAGCTCACCCACCTTCAAAATCTCGCTCAGCACTTCGCTGCTTTGGCTTTGCTTCAACGATTCCGAAACCAAACCGTCGCTAAACAGCGGCTAAACTTGGCCCCGAACTCAGAGGTTTCTCTAAATCTCTCTATCTTCTTCTTGTTTCACATTCTTTGCTTAAGCTTTTTAACGTTCATGGCTATGTGATCGATGTGTCTTGGCATTAATCTGTGTCTACAGCGGTTCGAACCGGCGGTTCCTTATGATTCGACGGGTTACAGACGGGCCTGGCATTTCGGGTTTAATGGCAGTGCTGGTGTTGGACATGGTGTTGACGGATATGGAATTGGAAGCAGAGGCACCTGGACCGGTTGTAGACCGGCTTACCAGTACCATTTTGTGCAACCAGTTCAACCCCAGGTAAAAAAGACCGGAGACATGAACCGGTTTTTTGCCTTTTGTTTTTGTTTTTCTGGGTTGTCCTTTCAATGGTTTTGCTTTTTCAGCTTTAATTAATGATGGGTTCGAGGTTGGTGTTGATTGGTCGTCTGAGTTTTGCAGGTTGAGAGCTTTATGGAAGCTAGGGCTAGGGTTTTGCAGAAACAACAGAAGCAGTTTTTGCAGAGCCAGAACATGGTTTTACCATTTCGAGGAAGTCGGGTGGGTGGTGGATTTGTGAGAGAGTATGGAGGAACGGGTGTGTTTCTTCCTCGAATTAACAGTACCACAACCACTAATGTTGCTAGAAAGAGACAGAGTGAGTTTCAACTTTTTTTTATTTGGTTCACCCACTCTTGTTCTGTGTTTATTTCACTAGTCATCGTCTATATGCCAAACGTCTGATAATTATATTTTAAAAAAACAATTAGATAAACAAAAAAAACCCCTGATAATTATCTCTCAACACGCACAATGCTCCCAAATGCACTCTCGCACGTGCTCCCCTCTACGTGACTCAGGCTTATCCCAATATAAGACCAAAATTTTGAATTCAATCTCCCTGCTCCTTGTAATCAATATGTGTCTACTTTTGGAAATGGATGTTTTAACTTGCTTGTAGCTGTGAGTGTGAGGTGTTCCTCCTTGATAGTTGCTTAAGAAAACCATGCCTAGAGAATATATATGTGCGTGTGTGTGTGTTTCCATTGTCTTAATTATTATTAATTTAATTTTTTAATTGTGTTAATTATGAAATGTGAAATGAGGATTGCAGTATTTTCATGATTTTCAGACTTATGTACAAGGAAGACATTTCAAGGGGTCATACTATATGGTTCTTTTTTTTTTAATTTTCAGCTAAAAGTTAAATTTGGGGTCTGGCTTTTTCATTGTCTTGTTTTTGTTTGAGGTTTGATGATACATATGGTTCTGGAAACTAACATTGCAGAATGCTCTGTTTGACTACTTATAATGATTGTTTGTTGACTAGACACTAGACGGACAATAGAAAAGGATAAGAATCATCATTGGAGAGGACAATAATTTCCTCCATTCCACCCCAAATATATAGTTGTTTGATCCTCCTACCTATAGTTTGATTTTCTTTTCCCTCCTCTCAGTTGTATAATGTGATATGGAAAGAAAAGAAATCAGAGTTCATTTATCATGTTTGGGCAGGTGTGACAAATAATAGAAAGGAGTTTCAAGTCATTCCTCCGAGGAATTCCATCAAAAGGGGGGTTGATGAGGAGAGGCGAGAAGAGTGCCATTACCAGCTTCCTCCTCCTGAGATGGGTTTGGGCTTACCACAGGATTGGACCTACTGATCAGCTATCTCCTCAACTATACTGTAAAGTGGTCTTCTTGTGGCCTTTGTCTTTAAGATAGTAAGTAATAAAAATTCTAGAACAACCTAAAACTTTGTCAAACAATCATTTGGACAGTGGGGTTTTGTTTGTTTTGTTATGGAAGTCTTTTGTGTGAACGTGAACCTGTTTCTTTTGCTGATTTAGTGTAGTAATATCAGCAATACAATAACCAAAATTTTGTTGTAGACTTGTTACTTGTTCACCGTGTTTCTGTTTGTACGGGTCGTATTAAATGCTTATGTTTGGTTGGAATTTTCATGGTTTGGTGCAAGATTGAACATGGAACATTTATACTCTGCAATAAATTTGTAACTAGAATTTTGACAATTCTTATGAAATGTTTGCATGTACCTTGTAACTACAAAATACATTTGTTAATGGATTTAGGCCTAGTTTTGGTACACATTAATGAAGTTATTATATAGATGGATGTGTGGTATCAGCTCAACCCATGATCTCTGGCTAAATCGCTTAACACAGAACATAACTTTTTAAACTTTTAAGATCAAACTAGTGCAACACCAAAGAAAGGGGGTGAAACAAAATGGCTGGTAAATATGACACACACCAAAATATGACACACTCTAAAGATAGCTAAAAGTCTATCTTCATATGTAGTATATATAGCTTCTGTTGAATTGCTTGCTTTTTTTAACTTGTATGGTTATTCATTGCTTAACAGAGCCCATCAAACGTTAGAATGATAGTTGTCATCCCCAATTACATTCATTCCATCTTCCTCTATCTTTTTCTCTCTCTCTTTCTTCAACCTCTTTGTAAGAAGACATTTGCCGTCCATACCCCCATTCTCTCTCTCTTCCCCTGATCAAAGAGGGAGAGGGATGAATCATGGCTTCTACAGCTCCTCCAGAAACTGGGACAAGGACAGAACAGCCACAGCCAAACCCACAGGGGCAGCCTCAGTCGGTGCCCTACGCGTACCCTGCTCCTCCACCATATCCTGGTTATCCCTACGCTGCGCCACCTCCGGCTGCTTATTACACCACCACCCGACCCTACGCGGTGGAGCACCAATATCACGTCTTTAGCCGTGTCATGTGCATGATCATGATCACATTTCTCATAGGTATGATCTTTTTGCTCATCATTCCGTTGCTAGTATTCGGTAAATACACATCCGAATTCCAAGTCGAGACCCTATCCGTACCCTCCTTCAACGTCTCGGACACCTCATTGAAGGCGAATTGGGAAGCCAAAGTGAAGGTGAAGAACGTGAATGAGAAGTCAGATGCTTACTATTATCATGTAGAGAGCTCCATAAATTATAAAGATAGTATTTTGGCGGTGTCATTGGTGAATCCTTTTCGATTGGGGAAGAAGGACACAAGTAACATAAACGTAGAGTTAGCTTCCAAGGCAGAGCACAGCGGGATGGAAGATAAGATACTGAAAGAGATTGGGAAGGATCGGAGTGGTGGGGCGGTGACTTTCAATTTGAAGTTTGGAGTGGTGGCAGTGTTTTCGTCCGGGATATGGAAGAGGGAAGCAAGAATGTCGATTGTTTGTGATGATTTGAAGGTTAATTTTGGAGGTGGTAATGGTGCCGGAACATTGAGCAGTGGGGAGCACAAGTGTGTAACCTATATATGAATATTCATGTGTATATATTCCTCTTTCTTGTTTATTTAAGAAGATGGTCCTTTGGTGCGTGACTTGGTTTTGCATGGTCTATTCATGCTATATATAGTCCATGATTAATACACAGGTAGGAGTAGGACACAATTTTCTTTTCTTCATGCACCCATGTAAAAATATGTAATTGTAAGCTTTTTATGTCACTGATATATATTACGAAAGAAACAAAGTACATTGCGGAAAAAATTAACATTATCATCCATGCAAAACAGATTGGTGTCGCATACATATATATAACTACCTAGGATCTTGATATAAAGTAGGAAAACCATAATTACTTGATGTGAACTCGACATATATACCTCTTGTAAATTTGACAAAATCAAATCATGCGTCGTTCTAGTTCAAGTTCTAGGAGAAACAATCGGATCAAAGTTCTCGGAGACAGCTTCAGCTTCGCCGTCGTTTTGCTTGTCAGCAGAGCTGATCTCTGGCGTACTATGCATTGTCACGTTCTTTTTTATCACCTTTTCCTTATCATTACCGGCTGATTCCAACCTCTGGCGTGACAATTGTACTGATTGCTTATCCAACTTACATGTACAAATAAGCATATAATCACTCCTCACCCAACCCCCAATTATTAGCACTCTTTAAGGCCCAGTTTCGTTGGAGGGTGATTGAAGAAAAATAAAGAAAATGCAATAGAAGGAAATATCATGTTTGATATATATATATATATATATCGAGTTCCAAATCTATAAAAACTATTATTTTATTATTATTATTCTCTCTCTCATGATTATTGTCATTTTCTTTATTTTCCTTTCTTAATCAACCAAACATAATACCACTTTTCATCATATGTCATTATGCATTTACCAAACTATCCCGTATAATTAACATTTTTTTTAAAAAAAGGTAAAACAAAAAAAGGCAAAATACCTTAAATGCCCCCTATAGTAAACTAATGCATTCCATGCCCCTAAATTAACCAAGTGTAATTCCTCGTGTAGTTGCAATTCTCTGTGAGGATAAACAAGTGATTTAAATGAAGGTTCATTTGAATTTGGTTCCAAAATTAAAATTAATTGACCTTGGAAGGAGAGCATACAGAGCACATGCAAATGAAGGGGCGAGAGCATAAATGGGTTTTGATTGGAATAAAGGAAAACGAAAGTCTTTTTTATAAAAAGATAGGGTATAACAGTCATATTAGGGGTACTTTCCTGATTAATATAAAAGTATCAATCATGTGTATTATAATATGCTGAAAAGTGGTTTGAGGTGAAATGTGAGGGGCAAGTTGTTGACTTTTGAAATTACAAGAATTGACTTGCTCACTTTTATAATAAATAAACATATTAACTTTAATGACAAAATCATAAAAGAAATAGATAAAAGATAAGAAAGTTTGGACTTTTTTAATTAAGCATTATTTGATGGTCTAATTGGTAAAGCGCGTCACTGTCTAAATAAGTGTTTTTTTTTTTCCTATTATGTCAAAAAATATTAAAAAATAAAAACTAAATTGGGTAATTGACATATAAACCCATTGTGGAAGTATAAATAGCCACATATGATGAGAAAGCCCGTCTCTTGGCCGATTTTTTCAATGCTAATTGGCGATTAGCTGCATGAATCAACCGTAAGAGCTCAGTGTTGGAATCAAAACACAGAGATACGAATTTTATTTTCAATACTCGGCCGTTTGTTGAACTGCTGCAAGCTTCTTATGAAGAAAAAAAATTCACATATTTTGAGATAAGATATTTACAACAAGACGTTGAACCCACACAACTTTTACTTAGCCTATTGAATACAGTAATAATTTTCAATGGAACATGAGAAGAAGAAAAACAACACAGATAAAATCAAATATCCTGGTCTATTGATTGATGATGTTCCTGCAAATTAAGAGGAAGAACAGTGGAGAGAGGGGGGAGTGAAAAAGAGAGAAAATCGAGAAAAAAAAATGAAAAAAAAACCTAACATGACAAATTAATGCACAAAGAAGAATGTTCACATTGAAAAATGCTCTCAAATCCCTCATTCACCACGACATTATCACCTAATTGAAGCAGTGAGTATCATATCCCTTTAATTTGATCAGATGCAATTTTTAGACATTCTGTCATGACTAGTAAAATATGTAGTTTAATGAATTCTCCTCTACCATTCCACCTGATTGGAGAACTGCTGAGGAGCTTGAAAAAAGACCACTATGTTAGTGACACTATCGCAAACTCAGTGGCTCTTCTAAATCAGAATGAAGCTGAAGGTTAGAAGAGAGTAAAATTAAAAATACTGCATATTCTTACATGTATTAAAACAGTCTAAATAGAGACTTCATTCACTCAATCGCCCTATCAATATGAAAGTCTCCATTCTTCAATAAGCATCGACACTCATCCAGTTCACACACACAAACACACACACACGCACGCACGCACGCGCACGCACGCACGCACACACACGAAAAAACAAAAAAAAATGTATTGTGTTCTTGAAAAGAGTTCTAATCTCGACTCTCTACAATAGATGGTTTCTGAACTAGTACAATACTTGAAAAGTAGCTTAATTCAAATCAGGTCATGGCAAACTGTTAACAGAGAAATCACCGGCATCAATGCCATACTTTCACCCCATTGTACCTGGATTGACAGAGTTTTGAACTTGTAAATGATTACAGTTTAGAGCCGACCAGCCCATGAAGAAGTATACAAAAGCAACAACCCTAAGAACGAGGGAAAATATCAAATCCCCAAAAAGGAAAAAGAAACATAAACATGAGAGAGGGATCCTTTCTTCAGAATTTGACATCTAAACAAATTCTTTCACCACTTCCTCTTCCCAGACTACCAATAGAAAAATAACCGAACCATCTGCCAAATACATCTAGAAGTTATGTTCTCAAGTGGAACCTCCTCAAGGATAAAGCAGCATCAATCAACCATTTTTATCCCTTCAATGCAAACAAAAATACTTCTGGCTCTGAAGGAGTCAAGTCCAAGGTTCTATCTCATCTCAAATATTGGTAAGATTGAGGCAAACATCCGGACAAGTAGTTTTTGTTCTCATAATCAATGCAAAGACACAATAGCATGGGATATGCAACAATGCTTCCAACAAGTCCTTGCTGATGCCCCCGGGGCGTAGCAGTGATGGTAGGAGCTCGGCGCTTACACTCTACAGGCCAGTGTTCGAACCTCCCAAGCCTTCTATGTTCTCAACTCATCCGCTGTGTGACTATGGGGCTGTGCTACACTATCCCCAGTTTGGCCCCATGGGGAGGGGTCCCTAAGGGGCCTTGTTTCAGGGAGTTCTGAGTCATAAAAGGTAAGCATCAACATAAGAATGTTACAAAAATGGGTTTTGCAGGAATTTTTATTTTTATTTATTTATTTTTCCGAAATGGTTATTGAATTTTGTTCATAAAATATATTATAGGAAGGTTTGGAACCAAAACAAAGGAAAAAGTATATATATATACAATAAAAATTGAAGCATGTGAAGTTATGAATTAAAACAGAATAGAAGTTCTAGACGGAATAAAGATTTCTAAAAGCCTCCATTCATTATCATTGCACACATAAATCTTTGCAAATATTTATAAGTAAAAAAGTCATTTCTACAAGCCTCAATTCAAGGACTAAGTTGTTATAGAGAGATGAGAAATTGGTACCTGAAACAGAAGAGAGAACGGAGGGGCAACAAATCGGAGACTGAAGTTCCAATGGATGAAATATGGATCCACCAACGAATTTGAATGCGATTTTAAATGAAATCAAAAGCTTTAAGAGTTAGATAAAGAATTTATACATACATATATATATATATATATATATATATATATATATATATATATATATAGATTTATACAAGCAGACAGAGCTTATACCTTCAAATTTTCTTCCAGTGTTCCACAGTGGTGATACAGAGTATTTGAAGGATTGATATGTTCATCTACGGTTTCAGTGTATAGAGAGAGAGGAAGAGAGATTTCTCAGTGGGGGAAGAAAGAGAGAGGACAATAAAGGTCGTGGTCTTCTGGTTCGTCGTGGAGTTCTTCAATTCGATCGGGATTGAGATCCGTAAAACAACTTCCCCAAATTTCAACGGTAAAGTTGTTTTTGTAACTTTCTGATAAAATATTTTACTAACTAAAAAATTTACATAAATTTTAGTCAACCAAATACCAAAAAATAAAAGAATATTTTTTAAAAAATATTTTACTCGCAAACAAACAAATCCTAAGATGAATAACTGTAGAAAGAGGAGGGGAGTGAAAAAAAAGAGAAAATAGAAAAAACAAAAAACAAAAAAAAAACTAACATAACAAATATTTATTTCTGAAATTAAAAGACAAATAAAATTTAAATTTTCACATTTCATTTTAAAAATTAGAGAAAATAACATTGTACTACCGCGGGACGTTTGGTCAAATTAGAGAAATAACGTTATCTCATTTCGACATAAAACCTCGCAAAAATATACATGAGCTTAGCTCTCAGTTCTATTGACTGTGATTCACGCGCCGCTCACTCTACGCCTCATCAGTGTATTTCAGACACTCAGACCCTAACCCTAAAATCTCCATCTCCATGCCACACTCACACTAAACGGTCGAAGGAAGATCATCTCCGTCTCTAAGTCTCTGTCTCAAATCCTACGACGGAAGAAGATACGAAGAAGATATCCTTCGAACGGCCGGAGTAAGTATCATCTCACCAGACTCGCCCTCTCTTCTTCAATAATTTTCCTTCACTTAACATCTGTTCATTCCTCTTTAGTTGTTTCAGATCCATGTCAATAGAAACCCTAAATTTCCCTTTTGTCTTTTTTAATTTTTTGGTTTTGTTGTGGATAAAATCAGGCATATGCCTCTGAATCTTCAAGTTATCTATCTATTTCATTAGTAATTCAGATTTTTAATTCGTATGTCGCTTAATCTATTTTAGGTGCTTTATTTAATTATGTCAATAATAGTTTTTATTTGCAGTCTTGTTTGATCCTCAAGTTGCTCCTTTAGTTTTGTTTGGCCTACAACAGAAAAGGGTCATCAAGCAATATGCCTCCTCGGTCCTCAGGTAGTTAATTTCACTACTATTCATGTTCTTTTTTCTTTAATTGGCGTTTTAAGGTCTATAATGACATGTTTGTTTTCCCAATTTTATCTACTATTTGAAATCATTTTGAGCAAAGTTCTCTAGCTGTATGGTTATTAATATGTTATGTGTTCTTATAATTGTGAGGCTAGCATAAGTCATGAATAAAAATACTCTAAAAAAAATTCTCAAATTTTAGGTTTACTTGTTGGGAAGAGAAAAAGCTCAATGGGATGAGTAGTGTCGGAAAAAGATAGGTATGTTTTTCGGGACTGGTCTTTTGTTAATTAAGGATGCTACATTGTATTTGTGTCTTTCTCGTGTATTTGAAAATATTCTAAACATCATTTGTATGACTAATGTGCCACATTTGTGCATGCATTGACACATCCACATTTGGGCTTTCATTACTTTGTTTTTGTTTTCATACATACTCATGCCTGCACTAATTTAGAATAAGTACGATGTTTTTTTTTCTTTGTGCAACTATATAAATGTTATTACATTTTATTCTTCTTTTTTTGTGGAAATAAATAGGAAACAACAATAAATTTGGTGGTGGTTTAGATGCAGTAATTCGGAATGGGAAAAAATGAGTGCCTGCACTCTCCTCTCATTGGACGCACGCTTGATTTAACTATACATACACTAAGTTAGTAATAATTTTTTTTTTAAGTGTGGATAGTGCTCTCTTGAATACAGAGATACTTGAGAGAATGATACCCTAATACGCATGCAAACAAATATTTTAAAATTCTCTTTAACACATTTTATTTTTGTTACGCAGTTATTGTATCGATTCCGTACTTTGTTTTTCTAAGCCTGTTCTAATGGTTTGTGGATAAAATGTGATTGCTGACCAATGCATTATTTACTAGTTTTGTTGAATAACCAGCACTAAATAAACAATATGTATCTAACAGTCCACCCTCTTGCATGTTGGAGATTTAAACAACATTTTAAGGTCAAACGTATCGTTGTTAAAAACTAATTGTCCATCGCTCAGATTTCGAACAAAATTGACATAAAACAACATCCAAACCAAAACAATATATTACGCATGTATAAAAGCACACACATATATAGTCTAGACATTCATATTTGATATTCATCTCTTATGGAACGGTTTTGGGATTAATTAGCATCTATCGCGTAGCTACTAATCCTGTTATTTTTGTTGTTGTTTTCTTCTAATGATTGGATGACACGAGTTGAACATTCCTCTTCATCTCTTTGCCTTTTCCCCATAACACCGCGCACAATCCGCACACTATCAGTACAACGCCTAGTATGCTATTAATAAAAAAAATTACATGTTAAATGAATTCATGTCATCCAAACAAGACCTTAAGAACTAGGGTTGCATATGTTAAGTGAATTAATAATATATTTTTGGAATCCAAACAAAACTTTAGAGGGTGGTAAGAGGCATGCATGTACCTTCCCAAGTGTAGCTTCTAATCCAAAAGCAAAGACCTTGCCATAACACCACGTACAATCCGCACACTATCAGTACAGCTCCTACTATGCTATTAATAAAAAAATTACATGTTAAATGAATTCATGTCATCCAAACAAGACCTTAAGAACTCGGGTTGCATATGTTAAGTGAATTAATAATATATTTGTGTAATCAAAACAGAACTTTATAGGGTGGTAAGAGGCATGCACGTACCTTCCCAAGTGTACCTTCTCATCCAAAAGCAAAGAACATGCTATTGCTATAAGCACAAGAACCAAAAGACTAAAAATTGATGCAAAAAGTGGGCCCGTCATGCATACTCACCATGCAGTGAGAGTAATCGTTAGTCTCGAAGCCACAATTCCCTACAATATCATAATTTTACGAAAACATGTAAATTTAATCATCACAACAACAAACTAATTAGGATATTGAAAAGAACCGGTTTGATTGGAGAACTAATTCGGCCAATTTGATTTGAAATTCATTTTACTGAGTAACTATAATTTAATTTAGAATAATGATTTTTAAGGACTGAATTCCGTATTTATCGAATTCAATTTATGTGAGAGGTGATGACTGATGAGTCCCATTATATGATTCATCACATATAAATTGAATTAGGTAAATGTGGAATTCGGTTTCTAAATCAATACTCTTTAATATAGAATCAAAATTTTAAAATCGTTCGGATAGATTTCTCTAATCCAGGTAATGATTGTATTTTAAGCTGAGCTAAATTTACTAAATTAGAATTTTTTTAATTATTCATGTGCTATATGGATAAGATCAATATGTGCCTCTGAGACATGAGAGAAGGAATCTCCTCCTTACGATTGGTGTAATAATATGATGCAAAAGGAATCTCCATGCAGAGAGAAAAACCAATGGCCTGGATTGCCCCCATAGATCAAAGCGGCGGTGGGGTAGTGACAAGAATACCTCTACAACATCTTAGCCTTGCCAACAAATAATGTTACAAACCATAAAAATAGATATGTTAGTGGAGGGCAATATTTCTAAACAAATTTTCGCAAACATCATTACCTGGATGATCAACCACAGTGACCAAGCGAGACAACTGCACACAACCAAAAAAACACCCAACACTCGATTACCAGACACTGGGTCCCCCTGTGCTGCCACGCGTCCACCATGATTATGATGCAAAAGGTTAAGATTCATTGACCAGATGTTTATTTAAACTCCCTTGTAAAAAGTGAGCAACATGGCCCCACCTACCCCTATTACTATCCCCACTAACTTTGCTTAACCTGCCGCTGTACCCAATCCCAACTTCTCCAACCTGGACTCCACATGTAATCCAAATAAAATGGCTATCATTTAATAGTAATGTGTGTGTGTGTATATATATATATACATTATATAGGCACCTACCAAAATGATATGGCCATCACAAATATATGTATATAGAAATTAAGACACATATAAGCAAATGTGTTACTCAGTTTTTTTTTTATGGCGATATCATTTTGGTAGGTGCCTATATATATATATATATATATTACTATTAAATGATAGCAGTTTATTTGGATTACATGTGGGGTCCAGGTTGGAGAAGTTGGGATTGGGTATAACTGCACGTAAAACAAAGTTGGTGGGGATAGTAATAGGGGTAGGTCGGGCCATGCTGCTCACTTTTTACAAGGGAGTTGAAATAAACATCTGGTCAACGAATCTTGACCTTTTGCATCATAATTATGGTGGACACGTGGCAGCACAGGGCACCCAGTGTTTGGTAATCGAGTGTTGGTTGTTTTTTTGGTTGTGTGCAATTGTCTCGCTTGGTTGATCATCCAGGTAATGATGTTTGCGAAAATTTGTTTTGAAATATTCCCATATTGCCCTCTACTGACATATCTATTTTCATGGTTTGTAACATTATTTGTTGGCCAGGCTAAGATGTTGCAGAGGTATTCTTGTCATTACTCCACCGCCGCTTTGATCTCTGTGATGGGGGCAATCCAAGCCGTTGGTTTTGCCCTTTGCATGGAGAGAGATTGGAGTCGATGGAAGTTGGGTTGGAACATTAGACTAGCCACAACATTTTACTCGGTATGTTTTTCATTGCCTTTCTAATTGGTGGACATGAACATAGGGATTTCAAAAGAAATTTTAAATCAAAATTCATAATGTATTTTATTGTTAGGTTCATATTTGAATTCGTATATGATCATTAGTTGTTATTATTTTCTTTTTTAATCTACTTTTTATTGTTATAAAATAATGAAAAACATAGTGCAGTGATATTAATATACCAATCGTAAGGAGGAGTTTCCTCCTCATGCTTAGAGGCACATATTGATCTTATCCATATAGAAAATGATTCTTGCACCGAATAGTTGCAATGAATTGCTAGACCTTCTCTTTTAATTGATCAATTATGCAACAAATAAGGAAGTGGAGCCCTTCACTTAGTTGTATTTGGTAGAAATAACTAATTAAAAATTATTCGATTAGGCAATTCACTGCAAGTGTTCGGTGTGTGTATCACTACTCTATCCATATAATATATGAATAATTAAAAAAATTCTAATATAGTAAATTTAGCTCAGCTTAAAATACTATCATTACCTGGATTAGAGAAATCTATCCGAATGATTTTAAAATTTTGATTTTAAATTAAAGAGTAGTGATTTAGAAACCGAATTCCACAATTACCTAATTCAATTTATGTGTGATGAATTGTGGGTCTTGATCATATCACGTCATGATAACATCATATAGTGTGACTCATCACCTCACTCACATAAATTGAATTCGATAAATACGAAATTCAATCCTTAAAAATCATTATTCTAAATTAAATTATAGTTACTCAATAAAATGAATTTAAAATCAAATTGGCCGAATTAGTTCTCCAATCAAACTGGTTCTGTTTAATATCCTAATTAGTTTGTTTTTGTGATGATTAAATTTACATGTTTTCGTGAAATTGTGACATTGCAGGGAATTGTAGCTTCAGGACTAACGATTACTCTCACTGCATGGTGTGTACGCATGAGGGGCCCACTTTTTGCATCAATTTTTAGTCTTTTGGTTCTTGTGCTTGTAGCAATAGCATGTTCTTTGCTTTTGGATGAGAAGCTACACTTGGGAAGGTATGTGCATGCCTCTTACCACCCTCTAAAGTTCTGTTTGGATTTCACTAATTTATTATTAATTCACTTAACATATGCAACCCTAGTTCTTAAGGTCTTGTTTGGATGACATGAATTCATTTAACATGCAATTTTTTTATTAATAGCATACTAGGAGCCGTACTGATATTTTGCGGATTGTACGCGATGTTATGGGGAAAAGGCAAAGAGATGAAGAAGAATGTTCTCATGTCATCCGATCACCGATCATTAGAAGAAAGCAACAACAAAATATATTACGCATGTATAATTTTTTGATATGTGTAATTACTCCATTTTTTTTTTATAAGTAAAAATATATTAGAAAAACGTTCAAAAGGGGAATGCGTCCCTAATACACAAAAACGAAAGAGCAAAAGCCAAAAATATTTTTTGATATGTGTAATTACTCCATGCCGACTATGATTATATATATATATATATATATATATAGTCTTGATCTCTTGCTTCCTGTGGAACAAGAAAATTAATCCACACTTTCTATATGGACCGTTAGATTAAATCTAATGGTTATTTTTCAAACCCACCTATATCCTTTCCTTTTAACACAAAACCACTCTCACCTTATTTTTAGTTTCTATATTTAATTTTACCATTAGCAATAAAAGGTAATTACCAAAATAAAAATAGAAATCTTTGATAGAAAAATAATATTAGTATATAATACTAAAATTTTGTTTTTCTTTAGATGTTTCTTTGAAAGAAATATATTTGCGGCTCACTTCACCTTTATTTTTCACGTTTTTGTCAAACAAAAAAGAATTACACCAGGTCTTAGATGGTTTACTTGGGGAAGGATAAAGAGAGATCATTTGCTTTATATTTGAACACTAGTGTCGGAAAATTCAACAAGAGAATTTGTGTCAAACGTCACTCCTCAAAATATAGTTAAGCCAATTTGGGAACATCAAAATGTCTTAAAATTGAAATAGAAAGAAATTTTTTGAAAAATGGAGAATTTCTGACCAATGCGTTATTTACTAGTTTTGTTGAATAACCAGCATTAAATAAACCATGACCAGGTCTTATGGCCTTAGATTACAACTTTCTTGGCCTTTTGATTGGACCATAATCAAATTAAAAAATTAGGGAAACACTCATTTTCTACCCAAAAACTGGGATAGCAATTGAATGACAAAAATTGTTGACCATGAGAGTAACTTTCAGGCATTTCCAACATTATGATGTGAAGGAAATTTTACATGGAGACACTGAAACATTGAAGAAATTCAGGTGATCAGTTATGCAAAAAAGTTAAGAAGTTCATTATCATTTAAAACAGTTCTCTAATTTCTACTTCCCAAACTAAAGCAATGTGTTTCTGTTACCCAAAAAAAACCCAAATTTTCACTGGGAAACAAATGGATACAACAAAGGTCTTGTTACAATAAACTGATACACCAATTTCTCCATAACCCTGGAGGACCTAAAAAAGTTGTCCCACAATCATCATACACATCTCAAGTCTCACAGGTATTATGACCTGCAACAACCGCTTGTTGGTTCATCATATTGTTTTTATGTTTGTATAAACACAACAATATACACCATCATTCAATTTTTTTGCAAATATAGGTATAAGAATACCAAGAAAGAAATGGTTTAAAAATGGGGAAACAAGAAAGAAATTTTTTAAAAATGGGGAACTGAACAAACTATCTTTGGATATCTTTGGATTCTGGAAACCACCAAACTGATATTGTTGGTTGCTGAGGTTTGAGTAGAGGTCATCTCCACCCATTAGGTGAGATAGACTTCCCTTGGGAATCTTGTGTAGAACTGCACTCACTGTTTTCCTTCTCATTTTGTTCCCCCATCCTGGTTCCCACTATCCCTGCAGACCTACTTTTCGATTTGCACCTGGGTATTAACACCTCCTTCCTCTACAGAATCGTTTAGGATTTCAAAATGGTTTTTAATAGCTAGGTTTAAAATAGTGACATGGTTAATACTTTTATTCTAGTTAACATTCAGCGGTTTCACCAGTACTTGGTGATGCACTCATTGGTTTGGCATTTTCTATGAAGCAATTTGTAAGAGATGATGAAGATATTCAATGACATTAGATTTAAGAATGTTTGTTGATCAGTTTTTCTTCTGCTATTGTTATAATTGGGAATTTTACTACTTGAGTTGTAATATTTTGAAATTTAAGATATATCGAGTTTCACTCGATGCTGTTGGCCTGTTCGGACACTTTCCAAACTGAGAAGTCTGATTGACAGATTTTCATTGGATCTCTTTTATCAGTATTGAAGGGGCTTTGACTTATTTCATATCATTTAGCTTGATATGATTCAGTAATGCTAATGTAAGGAATAAGTATAACTAAATTTATGTCTAGGTAGGTACCCCTTCAGCACTAGATCTTCCGTTGTGTATTTACGTGCTCACGTGCATATGTTCTTTGTACTTTTTGTGAATTCACAGGGTTGAAAAATTTATCTTTTCAAGCAGTAATAGATGTTAGAGATTGAAAGAAGATACCAGCTAAAATATGGTACTCCACCAAACGTAAAACTTTCAAGAAAGGTAGGGATAGTGATTTTTATGTTTGGTTTGCAAGTAGAGTAAAACTTTCATAATACTGAAAATTTCCTGAACATTTTAAAGAAGAAAACGTGCATGACGTTTGAGTCCCATCTTAACATACAGAATCAAGAAATTCAGTTTCTTACCAATTTCTTATAGGTTAAAGTTTTTACCTTTTTTGTTAAATAAATGATTACCTAGTTGTGAATTTTGGATTCTAAAGGGAATGATTTTCTCAATTACTCTTTAAGTTGGTAGCTTCCGTCTAATGGACGCTTAGATGTGCAGGATACCAAGTGCTGACTGCAGATAATATTGCCCATGTTTTGCTGTACAAGGGGAATTTGCCTAATAAGTTCCTTTTTAGAGTAGATTGTGAATTTTTCATTTGTGAAATCTAAGGAAGATTTGGCAGAACTTGTTTCCATTTTTCATAGCACATAATGAAGCATGGGATATTGGGGCATTGTGTTTCACTACTGTTTTGAAATCTTCACTTTTAGATGTATTTGGAGGTTTTCAATTTTGTAAGTGAAAAACCAGCACGATGGTTGTCCTCTGCACATTATAGGTAAGAAGTTGGCATTACAGGGAAGGCCTGTAAAATAGTTGTCCAATGTACATTATAGTTAAAAAGGATCTAGCCATTTAGTTTTTAGACCTGACAGGCAAGCATAACCTCGTATATGATTATTTCAACCCAACAGACATTGATATAGGTTTGGAGTGGCTGAGCTCAGCCTTGGTAATATTTCAACCCACAGGTTGTGACTGCTCACACACGCAGGTATATGTTCACTTTTGTTGTGTTAGGCTTTCTTAAATATGATATGATTACAAGTCTGTACTCATGCCATTCCGTGGTGAAATCTTATGAATTAATACCATGAACTCTTGTGTTCAGATGCTAAGATTATACTAGCCATTTTAAAAAATAATAATAATCAAGAAGCCTAAATCTCTCATTTATGTTTTATTCTAAATGTTACTCCCTCTGTCCCAAAATACATGTCCTGCTTGGGGAATCCAACTTTTTATAGTAGTGGAGTTTTAATAGTTTTTTAATGTATTGATAAGTGTGAAGTTTCAAATATGCCTTTGTTAAAAGACAAAAATTTGCTCCGTAATTAGTGCATTTGTTTAGTTAAAATGATAGTTTGGGAATGTTATAAAAAATAGTACATCCAATTTTGGAATGGGACATGTTTTTTGGGACATCCCAAAATATAAAGATGGACAAGTATTTTGGGACGGAGGGAGTAATTGTTGTCCCAAACTAGTGGGTTTGTCATGAGCCTTAACTTTACAGTGCATCATTTGCCAAGTAGCATTTTTAAACTTTGGCACATGGAGGGGCACTTAGGGAGATGTTTATACAAAGTTCAATTGGATTTGTGTCCCTAAAGAGTTTAATAGAGTAACATGGTTCATGTGGCTAACTCTAAAAAGTTCAGACAAGTCTTTGTTGGGTTGAATTGAGTTGTTTGATGGGACAAATTATGTGGCTTTCAAATAGTTGTTTTTTTAAATGAAGGAATGGTAGTATCTTTGTCTGTTATGGCTATTGTTCGTTTCAACTCTTAGTATAAATTCTTAGATGTGGCTGTCGATGAAGGTTTTTTCACCCTCCACAAATTTAAGCATAATCTGTTGCAATTTTGCGACTTCTCTCTTTTGATTGTTCAAGTATACAAGTAGTAGTTTAATTATTACAATTATAATAGATACTTATGATTATTATTAATGGTTTTCTTTTCTTTTTAGGGGCCTAACCTCACTTGTTCTCCAGTTACAAGAGCTTGGGTTTTTTTAGTACAAAAGACTGGACTTATACATTGTTGGAAACATAGCAGAGTTATGGATTCCCACTGAAAACAGAATGGATAATGGGCATAATGAAGATACGATTGATCCGAAATGTTATCTTCAATGATCAAACCATGCCATCAGACGTTGGCGATGGTACATCTACTTAGTAAGTATATTTATTTATTTTACCTTATTTTTTCTTTATATATATTTGATTGATTTTTTTTATTTGTTTAATAGTGAAAAACTTCATTTGATGAGGCACCACGGCTCCCTCATGAAGCCGGGGGATAGAATTAATTTTCTATGTTTCGCGGTAAAAGACTTGAGAGAGAGAGAGAATTGGAAATTTCATAATACAAAAGGATCCTACCACTACTCTTCAAGTCTTTGGCTTCAGGTATGAAGCACGGACACGGACACGAGACACGGATATGATACGACACGGATATGGCGATACGGCAAATGTGAAAAAAATAGGACACGGACACGGACACGGCAATAAAATAATAATATTATTTTTTATTATCTATAAAAAACTTAACTTTTGCACACTTTCTTATATATTTATAATAAACCAAACACATTTAAATTAGTTCAAGCACATAGATTATATATTTTTTAAAAGATTCGTAGCCTAAATTACATTAACATACTATATATATATTCAACAAAACACATTATTTGTTGCCAAACAGATCCAAAAGAAGCGTGTCTTCTTTGGCCTTGGTATGTCCGCTGATAAGATGCGATCTCGATGCCTCTGCATCACGCCACTTTAATCCTTCCTCTATCTCTTCATCTCACTGATTCATGACCCTCTGCTTCCTTCTTTTGGTGGTCCCTTCTCATCCCTATTATTTCTTTACAAACTTTTCTCTTTTAATTGATATATATATAATCACACATATATGATTTCGACATATACCCACATCAACTGTTATACAGATCTTCATCGCAATATCCCTCTTCATCTCCTTCCTCTCCAGCGTGTCTTCCGGCGCGACCCTCTTCATCTTGTTCCTTTTTGGCGTGTCCTCCGGTGTGTCGTGCCGTATTCAATATATTAAAAAAATTAAAAAATACAGGACACGCTCAAAGGGGTGTCGGACACGTGTCCAGCCCTTGGACACGCTTGTCCGTGTCCGACACCAGTACGAGGAGCTTCACTGCCGTGTCGGTGCTTCACATGGCTTTAGAGATCACTTACGTAGACTTTACATGGACAACGCTGGTCTTCTCGCATCTCAAATAAATATACTTATAAGTATATTTATTTATTTTACCTTATTTATCAAAAAATATATTTATTTATTTTACCTTTTTTTTTCTTTTTTTCTTTTTCTATATATATATATATTTTGTTTAATAGTGAAAAACTGCATTTGATGAGGCACCACGGCTCCCTCATGAAGCCGGGGGATAGAATTAATTTTTTATGTTTCGCGGTAAAAGACTTGAGAGAGATTGAATTGGAAATTTCATAATACTAAAGGATCCTACCACTACTCTTCAAGTCTTCGGCGTCAGAGATCAACTACCTAGACTTTACATGGACAACGCTGGTCTTCTCGCATCTCAAAGAAAAGCAAACAAGCTCAAAAAGTTTTGAAGTATCAAAACTGTTTCATTTAGACCATGGTTGTTATGAGACAACTACCAATCAAAGGGTGAGCAATATGCCGCCTCAGTCAATATCAGGTAGTTAATTTCACTACTATTCATGCTTTTCTTCTTTCTTTATTGGCGTTTTAAGGCCTATAATGACTTGTTTGTTTTTCTGATTTTATGTACTATTTGAAATCATTTTGAGCAAAGTTCTCTATTTGTATGGTTGTTCTTTTTATTCATCTTAAGTCATGAATAAAAATACTCAAATTTTTTTTTTTCTTTTTTTCTCTCGAGTTGTAGGTTTACTTGTTGGGAAGAGAGAAAAATCTCAATGGAGTAGTAGTGTCTGAAAAAGATAGGTATGTTTTCTAGAGTATTCTTTTGTTAATTAAGAATGCTACATTATATTTGTTGTCTTTCTCATGTATTTAAAAATATTTGGAACATAATTTGTATGAGTAATGTGCCAGATTTGTGCATGCGTAGACACATGCGAATTGTGCAATTGAGCTTTCATTAATTTGTTTGTGCTTCCATACATACTCATGCCAGCACTAATTTAGAACAAGAATGATGTTTTTTTTTTTTTTTTTACCCTTTGTGCAATAGTAGATAAATGTTGTTGTATTCTATTTTATTCTACTTTTTGGTGTAAATAAATAGGAAACAAAAGAAGCATCAAAAAATTTGTAAGCCGGAATGGGAAAACCTTGCAAATGTGTGTGCACTCTCCTCTCATTGGACACACTTCGGGTTTGGTTTGGTTTGCTTTTTTGAAGGAGAGCATAACTGGTGGTTGGTTGCCTTTGCGTGAACATGATGGTAATGACTTGAAAAACTGGTCAGGTGAATTTATACCAACACTAATTCACTGGATTCTAACAGAACTCTGCGGTTAAGCATGTTTGGGCAAGAAGTCATCGTGTTGCAACCCATTTTAGAAAGGGCATTAGCACTGGCCTGATTGGTAGAGTGCCCAGCTTCCCAAACAAGTGTGCCTGTTTTCGAGATCCCCTTCCTCCCCCTAGTTTGTCAGGAAAAATAAATAAAGAACTGGGCAGTTAAAAGATTGGTGGTCTATTAGAATGTGATGGTAACAGATTTGGAGCCCCTGGCACCTCTTTCTCCCCTTGCTACTGCTCTGTTGTGATGGATAATTTGAAGTAATAGATAATTTAATGTTCTGGTGTTCGCCAAATTACGTAATTTTAGGGCAATGAAACTTTATGGATTATATACTAGATAGACCATAGATGTGATATATTCTGCCATTATCTACTTAATTTATTTTTTTGAAAACCTACCACTTTTTAATGGGTAATTCTGTAGTTTTAAGAAAGAACGACGCAATAAATGCTTGTCCATAGAATATTGAAATTTTAATTCAAGCGACAATTTGCATAAATTTTAGGTGTGTGTGTGTATATATATATATATATATATAGATAACCACATAAGAGATTGTGAGTACTGCTTGTTAAGGATTGTGTGGTCAATGGGCTTGAAGTGCATCTCAGGATTTTGAGAGTAATTGCTTGTCAAGGATTATTCAACAATTTCGCATCAACTTAAATCTCAGATTTGAACCTTGTTTTATGCTTTTCATTTTCTTTGATATAAACATCAATTTATAGTTTCCGCAATCATTGACCTGTCACCGCTGTGATGGCAAATAATTGATGATGGTCCTCAAAGTGATCTACTTTTTATTTGAAGCCGCAATCAGTTTCTTGAAAGTTTAATCATCTACTCCTCCTCTACTTACGATGGTATGATGATGAACTTCGTAAAGAGCATACTGTGAGTATAATAATTGTGTGTATTTGTTTTAACCTTTAAATAATAATAATAATTATTATTATTATTAAAAAACGCTTATATGTAATGGAGCTTAATGTTATTGTTTTATTATGGCGATTCTTTATTTTCCAATGTCCTCGTCTTCTTTTTTTCGTCGTTTTTTTGGTTGGATATTTGTGGTGTAAGAATTTGCCATCATCCAAGAGTTCTGTATCCATACTCCATCCCTCCCCACTTTTGAAATTTGTCTCTTTCACACCCCAGCCCCACCCACCAATGGGAAAAAGAAAGGAATGGAAACTTTGTGGTTTTAACTTCAAAGATGATCCTTCTTGTGGGGACTTTATGGGTACAATCTACATGAGGACATAAATAATCTCAAATATCTTAAACCAACCAAACCTTTTTTATAATAAAGAAAATAGGTAGCATTGACAAAACCAGCACATGCATATGCGAATTTTGAGGATGTTCTTAGCTTCTATGTACAGTTTCATAATATATATTGCTTCCAGTAAGATTCAATATACATCCCAAATACTGGAAAGGCAAATGAAAGAAGAAAAAGGGTTTGAATCTGAGACAAAACATAAATTGTATGATTCTTTTGTCTTAAAATAAAAAAAGTAGATATCAATAGGTTTTTAGCGTAGATGTTATAAGTTCATCTCCTATTTTGTGGAGATTTGAGTGTTCGAGTTCCCGATTTTGTGGAGATGTGAGTGTTTGAACGAGTTCCCGATTTTGTGGAGATGTGAGTGTTTGAATTCCCGTGAGGTGAGGTGAGTAAGCCGTGCTTGTTTTTTAAAACGTAAATGATATTAGTTTTTGGAAATTGGAATACATTATTCCTAAAACTAAATCATCATATTTGATTATCACCTCCAAAACTTAATCTAGGGATTTTTTAACTTAATCTAGGGATTTTTTTTTCTTTCTTTTTTTTTTTTTTCAATTTGAACACATGTAGAATACTGTTGTAATGTGGTGTATATTTGTTGAATAATCTACATTTCTCTTTGTTGCGTAATATGCAAAAAAGCCGAGTAGTAAAAAAATTGCTGTTTTTGCTTACAAATACAATTAGCACTTGAAAAATTGTAACCATGGGATGCCTGAAAAATATAGCTATACTACTATTTTCACTTCTATCAAGCGTCATAAGTTCACCTTATTCTTAAGCAATAGTTTTACTTTTTCCAATAGCAAATTTACTAATACCACCGGCCAAGTCAATGGATACCAAAAGAAGATTCATACTCTTGTGAAATTTCCTCCTAGCTTGCAGTATTAGACTGGACAGATGGTCCATAAAAGAACAGTTGTTTGGTGGTTACGTTTTTACATAGTATTTTCTTTAAAGGTACAAACCTTTAAAATTTTGACACGTGTTCATTATTGAGACTCGTAATTAAAAAATTTGATTATATTTCTTGACTAGTGTGATTAAATCATCATATATTTTAGACTTGCAAGTATCATAAATTTTAGACTTGCAAGTACAATTAGTAACCATAGGATGCGTGAAAAATATAGCTATACTACTATTATTTTCACTTCTATCAAGCGTCATAAGTTCACTTTATTCTTAAGCAATAGTTTACTTTTTCCAATACCAATTTACTAATACCACCGGCCAAGTCAATGGATACTAAATGTTAAATTAAAGGTCTCTCTCCATACCAAAAATGTCTGATCACTTGGACTTTATATTTCAATTTTTTTAGTGTGTTACTCATTTTTCTGGGTATCTTATTATAGATTCGTAGCCATAAGAACTATAAATTAATTTTTTTTTATAATAATTTTAAATAACTATATTAGTTAGATATGTCATTCTAGTTGGATGCCTAACAAATAAATTAATGATAAGACAAAAGAGTGACATCTAAAATGTGATATCATCTAAATTATAAGTTAATATGGTTGATAATTAAGCAATAGTATGATATTGGTGCATTAAGGACATCTAAAAGAAAGGGGACAAATTAAATATTCAATACACATGATTTGAATTTATGTCAAATTTGGGGTGGGGGGGTGGCCTTTAAAGGGAAATCAATTTTCCTTAAGTCAGTACCTAAAAAATTAGATACTATAAACAATTTCCAAACTTCACAATGAATTTTTGAAAAAAATTGTTTAGTAAAACCTATTTTAATTGCTAATTATATAGCTCACCTGCCTATTTGTTAAAGTGTGAATTTCAAACAATGAGCTCGTCGTATTGTTACTAGCAAAAAGAAGATTCATAAAAATGCATAAACCCCGCGTACAGTAAAGTTCTTTACAAATGATTATACTGGTGAAATTTCCTAGCAACCCCGTCTGGAGTATTAGGTGACAGATGGTCCATAAAAGAACAATTGTTTGGTTGTTACGCTTCTATTTTCTGTGGGTCACCAATTCTTTTATCATTTTAGTGCACTACTCCAATATATATATATATATATATATATATATATAGAGAGAGAGAGAGAGAGAGAGAGAGAGAGACTATTAAACACAGTTGTTAAACATAAGTAATAGTTTTCAACACTAACCTTTTCAATTATAACCGTTTGATGTGTTTTGTTTTAGGCGGTTTTTTTTTTTTTTTTTAAACTAAAACAGAAATAGTGTTTTTGTTATAGTAGTGTTTTGAAAAAAATCGAAAACACATTTGGAAATAATGTTTTACTGTGAAAATGTCGAAAACAAAAATATGCAAAATATGGTTTTGGCCATAAACCGTCGTCAAAACAAGAAAAAATAAAACTTTTTTGTGTTTTGGTTTTGGACCACTATTCACGAATTGTTTTACCACTATGTAAAATAAAATAAAGCTGTAACAAACATACTTTTGTTACCAAAATCGTAACCGCCCAAAAACAAAAACAGCATAAACAAAATGCATACCAAACAGATCTAAGTATATCGAAAGAGAGTTTTTTTTTTTTTTTTTTTTTTTACACATAAGAATAATCTTATTAATTATTAAACTGAGACAAATTTGAAATTTTGTATAAGAAAAATAAATAAATATTTTAAATTAAACAGAACTGATTAATTTATTTGAAGAGAATCACAACAGCCTAAAAATTTTAGAAAAAATCACATTTCTTTCTAAACGAGGATCACATACTTTTCCGGATCCCAATTTCTATTTTGATGACATTTGGAATGATCTCATCGTCTTTGAAAAAGCCTAGAGTTTATACTGCATGTATTAATAACATTTGGAATGATTTCATTGTCTTTGTCTAGAGTTTATCAAGGTGAATTATATTATCGTTTTGAGCTAAAATCATAAAATCATCACTATTTTTAATTTTTTATTATAAAATTTTAATATGTTTCTAAAAACTCAACAGTGTTACAGAGTTATCACGTTACCCTAATTCTGTTAGTTTGAGACGTTAAAGTAGGGCGTACTGCTCACTTGTATTGACAAATAATTTTAGTGACAAAATTATCCATGCAAAAACATGAGCCAACCATATACTGTTACATTTTTTTTATTATTTAAAAAATGTCCCTAAGCATGTTAATTAAGCTTTGTGAGACCATGGTGATGATAATGTTGACATCACAACCAGGGCGGCACCATCACCACAACCACAAGCCGTCATCGCATCACCATCCCCATCGTCGGAACCACTACCACCATTCCCACCTCACAACCACCATCGGCGCCCCCGTAACCATCTAAGACCATTAGAAACGCAGACAACACCACATCCTTCTACTCCATT